GAAGTCACCAATCCACTAGCTACTAAAGGGCATAGTACAAATAAGATGAGTGCTGTCACGAAGTGAGAGCATTATCTTTTAGTACTATGTAGTGCTAACTCTACTCGCGAGGAAGCACGCCCTTTTGTAGCACTTTCTAGTATGTGGTAATCTGTCTCTATTTACATATGGTGGATAGCCGCGCTATCGTGCCTAAGAGACGGTACACCTTCAAAATTTTAAAAACCTTTTCATTCCTCATGATTGGCAAAATAAACTTAGTTTATTTGCTTTATCTCAAAAGAGATTCTTGTCATGTCTCAATGCATACATTGCACAAGAATATGCATTCAGTTTGTCGTCATTGCTTTTAACTTCAATCTTATACTCCCTGCCTTTTACAGATCAAGGGAGGCGGGTGGGTTAAAAAACCCTTCCGGTCGAACTTCGGCGGGGCGGGGGTATGGACTCGAACAGGCCATTTTGTCTTCTGGACCTGCCGCGATTGACGCTGGCTGAGCTCATTTTTGTTCTCCAGGCGGTTGTATCAGAAGTTGCAACTCGGGCCACCACCTCTGCTCCAGAGCCGTCGGTTCCGGTCGAGGGTTCACGAACATCTACGGGAGAGCCTGTGTCAGAACCTGCAGCCCCCATTCCATCTTTCCAGTGCCCTTATAGCTGTGCGATTGCCGGATGCCATTCCTTTTGTACTAGGGCCAAACGTGTTCACCGCCATCATCGATGCAGGGTTCACCAAGGGGTTTGAGAAGGAAGTGGGCTCAGGGTCTTTCTGCACATGCATCTTCAGGCCCAGCGCCATCGTGTCAGGCCTCAGAGGACGAACAGGACGACGCACTGGTTGATGATGACACCATGGGTAGCAATAGTGTGGACTTGACGCTGGACGGAGAGCTTGAGATTGAAGTTCCCCCAGTTCATTGGCCGGCTACGCAACCGTCGTCCTCACATGATAGGCCGCATTCGTCCCAGAGTGATCTTCGATGGTTGGATCAGTTCGCAAAGGAGCAAGCTCAGGCTCATATTCGGCAGAACCTCAACACTCTCAAACAGCCTTGGGAAAGAGGACCTTTGGCAGGACTGTTCAACCCCAAGATGGCCTGGCCTAGGCCAGCTGTCAACTTGGGGCTGCCTTCGATTGGAGCCATGGAGACTTTGGTGTCGACCTCACACATTGCCAAGGAACCAGCTTTACCTAGTTCTGCCACGACTTTTGCACAGCAGCGAGTTCGTCAAATGAGACTTCACAGAACTGATGATGACGTGAGACGTAAGTCATTGGATAGAGTCTCAACCATGATGCTCATGGATTGCAATGCAACTAATGTTGGCAGGTCCCTCATAACCTTTGCTGGCACCCTGGCCGCAGACACTGAGATCGTTAACTCCATATCAGATGTCTTTGGACCGAAGAGCACGGGAACGATTCTCAAACGGACCAATGCCATGTGGAGGTTTGCCCAGTGGCTCCACAAACAGAATCTTGGATCACCCTTCGTGCAATCAGAAGCAGTGATATACAGGTATGTCAGTTTTCTCAAGGAGTCAGGTGCGGCCCCAACTACGGCTTCTCACTTTTTGGAGTCGCTACAGTTCTTCAATGGTCTGTTGGGCTTTGCAGCGATCAAGGTGACAGAAGTTTTGAGTGCACGTGTCAAAGGTTCAGCTCATGTCCAGTATATTGGAAAGAGGATTCGCAAGCCAGCGGAGACCCTGACTCAACGGGAAGTGGGAGAGCTTGAAGCAATTGCATTGACATCAAACAATCCACTTCATGTGATCCTGGCGGGCCACTTCTTGTTTTGTCTTTTTGCCGCAGCAAGGTGGTACGATTCGATGTACGTTTGCGCAGCATCGGTTTCCAATTATAAGGGAGTGTGGCTGGTTGAGGCGGAGACCAGCAGGCACAAGACATCCATGACCAAGCAGATGCAAACAGAGCTGTTGCCCTTCACTGCTCTTGGTAGAGCATTCGACATCCGTGCATGGGCTGACCCATGGATGAAGGCCCGGGAGGCTGCAGGGTTGCAACCAGGGTGCCCTCCTGGTCTGAGGTGGCTCAACGCTGGATGGATGACAAGATGACCTCAGCAGAGGCATCGTCATGGCTACGTGAACTTTTGGCACCAACCTCAGGTGTCGAACGGGCGGCGAAGCTGACCATTCATGGCCTGAAGGCAACCCTGATCTCCTGGGCAGCTAAATCACTGACCTTTTCACCTGAAGAGCTGACAGCACTGGGGCACCACGTCTCGAAGGCCCATCGCTCTGCCATGATTTATTCCCGGGACAACCAGATTGCGCTGGCGGTCAAAGTGCACAACATGTTGGCCAGGATGCGTGCTGGGCTTTTCCAGCCAGACTTGCCACGCGTGGTCAGGCTCTTCGATCTTGCGGCAGAGATTGAAAGGGAACATGATGAGCGTCATGAGCTGGCAGACTCGGAATCCGAAAGCGCTCAGTCGGACGACTCATGTGTGGCCTCTTCAGGAGACGAGCTTGATGGGAGCCCCAAACACTTGCCAAGGATGAACCCCATGGACATCAGGGCGGACATGTGTGTTGTGCATCACATCTCGTCCATCATCCATGTCAAAAAGCCGGAGCCTGATGGAGACACTTTGGGATGTGGTCGCCTGGTGAGCCATAATTTTAGGCCTGCAGAGGACCGTGACCTTGGGGGCAACAAGTCCCTCGTGTGCACTGGCTGCAGCCGATATTGGCACAGCTGGTACCGGGATTCGTGACCCAAGCATTGAACTCAGAGCTATAAATGGACTCCCAATTCCTCATTCTTTGAAGCTCGTGCCACGTGTCTCTGACAGGCACAACTGAGTTGACACATAAGAACAGTAGTCATGGTCACCTCACTATGCATCCCCCGGATGGCAGTGCAGTCACCATGATCTGTTTTGTGTCCAAGCTTAAGTTCACGCATGTGAGGCTCCAGCGGACACTTCAACAGATGAGGAAGGGATTAGATAGACGAATATCCCCTAGGGAAGAAAATGCATGATAAAGTCAATCCCTCATAGGTCTCGTACAAAGAAAGTAAAAACATGTCTTCATGAACTCTCAACTCCAACCAGTCAAGGCCGTTCACTTCTTAAATAAGCACGGACCTGGAATGCCCCAAAGGGGTCTGACCACTGCTGCTTCAAAGAGGTTTGGGGCATTCGTAAGAAGCTAGGACCTCCTAGGGATTACAAAGTCTTTTTCCAGACTTCCAAAAACATGCTTTTTCAGGTGACTTGACCGCTTGACAGGACACCACACCTTCCCAGCCACGGCACTCGATTCTAAGGCATCTTTCGCGCAGAGAGCACTTGAAGTCGGGCTCACAGATCGGCAGGTGCAAGCGATTGATGCTGCAGGTGTAAACTCATTTGCCAGATACGCATACTGCACCGCCTACCAGCCGGGTCAATCCGATGATGCCCCGTTAGTTCAGTTCTGGACAGATGCTTTAGGAAGTGCACCCGACGCTGGAACCTTAGCTTCGGCACGTCGTTTATTCTTTGAGAGTCATGCATTGGCCTTGGATGAGTTGAAGACTAGATCAGAGAGAACAGAATCCAGTGAAGCTCGCACCATCCCGTTGGCAGAGAAGATGGACCGGGTCCGGAACTTGAAGCTGCGCCTCACAGGCCTTACTTTCACGCCTGCAACGGAGCCATCACATTCTTTGATCGATAAAGCATGCCAGCAACTGGAGGATAACGTGCTTTCTTACATACCGCTCAACAAGTGCACATCGCGTCAGGATGAGACGCTCCAGTCCAAGACCGATGCTTCGATCTCCATGGACTCAGCCGGCAACCTGAGAGTGACCAAGAAGCAGAAAACAGAAGATACCAAGATAGAGGGTGAGCATCGATTGAAGTCAGCATTCCACCGCAGAGCTCTAGCGTATGACATTGCAAGGATTGGCACTTTCCAGGTCATGGATAGGTGGACTCAAACCCTTTTTGACAAGATCACAGACGCGCCGCTGCCAGGTTTTCGTACAGTCACGATCGACCAGGCCATCAACGCAGACAAGGCTCTGTGGATTAAGCTGGCAGAAGAGACAAGGGCCAACCTGGCATCGACGGCCGGGCAACCCAGGCCCTTCGATGTGGCTTTTGAACGCCTTACCAATCATGCCGAAGTCTTGTTGCACCTCACGCCTCTGCCATTGGCCTTCACGAAGCATGAGCCCCACACGAAGCATGAGCCCTCCACTCCTTTTCATGCTCAGCCGGGGCCCAAAGGAAAGAAAGGTGGGGGAAAAGGCGGAAAAGGGAACCCACCAATGCAGGGCGCCCCCATCGTTGTCCCAGACGATTGTGAGACGCAAGCGGGTGATAAGACCTTGTGCAAACGCTTCAATGTTGGCCGATGCAAAGCGAAGATCAAGCCGGGCAAGCGGTGCATGATCGGTTGGCACCTTTGCTGGAAGAAGAACTGCCACAAGGCTCACCCTGGGGCAGAGTGCCCCTTGTGACTAGAGCCTCAGTCGAGTCCCAGTCTTAATTCGAACCAGCTTACTTGCACTGTCATAGAAGTCTGTTGTGGCTCTGCGAGTTTTTCTGATGCTGTTCGCCGTGCAGGTTTTTCCGTTTTCCCAATTGACCATCAGGCCAATCGACATCACGCCAAGGTCAGGCCAGTCATCCTCGACCTGACAAATGATCATCATGTGAACATTTTCAAGCAGTTGTGCGCTCACTCAAGACCTTGCTTGATTTTTTGTGGTTTTCCTTGTGGAACTTGCAGCCGTGCCAGGGACAAACGTCTCCCCGGACACCTCGGACAGGGACATGGACCACCACCGCTTCGAAGCGAGCGTCACGTGTGGGGACTTCCAAACTTGTCGCATACGAACCAGGCTAAGGTACAACAGGCCAACAAAATCTATAGGCTAGCTCTTTGGATTCTTGATTTTTGCCATAAGACAGGGTGCCTCTTTGCAGTGGAAAATCCACATCGATCCTGGCTGTGGCCACTTCTGGCCGATCTCTTTAGAGGGTCTGATGACCAAGCCTTGAGAGAGTTCGCTGCCACCTTGGACCATGTAGTCTTTGATCAGTGCATGCATGGGGGGATTAGGGATAAGCGCACTAAACTCCTGGCATCGCCAGGGCTGTTCGCCCCTCTTGCAGTAGATTGTGATCAAACTCATAGCCATGCGTCATGGACCCCATATGCTCAGGGTACTCGAATGGTCTATCCCACGGCCACCGAGGCTGAATATCCAGCCCTGCTGGCCAAGCGCATGGCAGCCTGTGTCACCGAAGCAGTGCTGCCTTTGGGACTCGAGCCGCAAGTTCATCCGCGCTTGAAAGATCTCCTGACCTATAGCCTGGGTGCTCAGACCATTCGTCATCCCCCACTGGTGCCAGAATATAAGGACTTTGCTTATTTGGACCAACCCGTAGACCTTCCCTCGTATAAGCTCCTGGCGTCTCCCATCACGGGGGCCAACACCGAGACGCTGGACCAAGACGGCGAGACCCCTAGGAAGAAATCTCGAGTTAGGCACACATATAAGTATGGTATCCTTAGAGACCCAGCAGAGTTCTTGGAGCAAGCTAAACAAGTCGTGCATCCAATGGGCACTGAGCACTTCATCAATGAAGCCACTCATGATGCCATCAGGCATGTTGTAACCACCGACCCAGTGACGCTTGCAAAACAACGACTCCAGGTTGTGCTGAACCTCAGAAAGCTAGCTGACGAGCCCGCTCCACGAGAAGTGGAGTTGAAAGGCAACATGGACTTCCAACTTCGAGAGAGACTGAAATCCAAGAACATCGTCCTTTTTGGTGAGATCTTGAAAAAGTTGGAGTACGACGACATGAGCGTTGTTGACCTCCTTGTGAAGGGCGTCCCGCTAGTAGGCATGCAGGAAGCCCCAAAAGGGTATAGACCGCTTGTTGTGCCGGCGACCACGACTCAGGACGAACTGGAGGCTTCGGCCTTTTGGAGGAGAAAAAGTGTCATGGGGGCCAAACCTGACCTGGCCCCTGCAGACGAGGAGGAGCTGGTTGCGGCTGCTCAGAAGGAAGTGGACCTTGGTTTCTTGGAAGGGCCCTTCACGGAGGCTCAGTTAGATGACTTCTACGGGCATCGACGCTGGCTTCTGAACCCGAGGTTCGCTTTGCACCAAGGCGTCAACAAGATTAGGGTGATAGATGACGCTAAAGTCAGCTCCTTGAACACTGGTTACTCGTCGACCTTCAAGCTGCAGTTGCAAGACAACGATTACATAGCGGCAATGATCCGCGCGGCCATGCTTGAGCAGCAACGCCATGGGATTGCTGACACCTGGTTGGGCCGGACTCTAGACCTCAGCAAAGCCTATAAGCAGTTGGCAATCATGCCCGAGCATGCGCACCTGGCCGTGGTTGGGTTCCCGGTTGGGGGCCAGTGGCGATTCTACAAGTCTGTTGCTCTTCCTTTTGGTGCCACTGGGAGTGTGTACGGATTCGTTCGAGTCTCGCAAGCGCTGTGGTTCATTGCCACCAAGCTACTGAAGGCCATCACCTCGCATTACTTTGATGACTTCCCTATGATAGAGAGGGCGGCAGGGGCACGTGTTCTCTCTCTTTCTTTTGGAGCCGTCCTGGACTTGTTGGGGTGGCAGTACGCCAAAGACGGCGACAAGGCTGCGGACTTCGCCTTAGCTTTCGATGCGTTAGGAGTAACCTATTCCTTGGACCGAGCTCCATCAGGGTGTTTCGAGGTAGCTAACAAGGTAGGTAGAGTGCAGAAAATTTGTGACCTGCTGGGAGCAATAGAGGAGCGCGGCATTGTGTCGGGGGCCCAGGCCGCCGAAGTGCAAGGGCTTCTCAACTTTGCTTGCGGGTTCTTTTCGACTAAGGCGATACGCCAATTGGTCTCTGCCTTCGCCCCCTTGGCCGACGATAAGACCCCTGAAGCTAGGAATAAGTTAAAGCCCTTATGCAAGTACACTCGAGCCATCCTGATAGCCTTAGGTCCCAGGTCCCATAATCTGCACGACACGGATAGCCCCTACCTAATCTTCACAGACGGAGCCTTCGAAAGTGACCAGGCTTCCGCTGGCGCCGTCATAGTGGATACGGCTCATAAATCTAGTTCGTGCTTTGAAGTTGAAGTGCCCCAGGAGCTCCTAAGCCTTTGGCTCGAGACTGCAGACCAGGCAATATGTCAGATTGAACTCTGGGCTTTCGTTGCCGTTCGTTGGAGCCTCCGTGACGATCTCTTGAACAGACGGGTCATCGCATGGATTGACAACGAGTCTGCTCGGATTAGTCTCATTAAAGCTGCTTCGCATTCGGCCACCATGGCAGCCATGTGCCAGGTTTGTTGCGACATCGAAATCACACACCCGACAATGCTTTGGGTCGAGAGAGTGCCGTCCTTTTCGAACCCAGCTGATCTCCCGTCCCGGCGCCAGGCCGGCAGGGCTTCGGAGAACTTAGGCATTGGACTATGGACACCCTTGCATTGCGATCCTGAGCTGGTGCGGGCAGTCAAGGAGGCCACCCGGTCTCCTTTCACTGTCCCTCCTTCTGCGGGGGTATAACTCCGAGGGTCAGTGGAAGGGCATGCTCAGATCACCCAAAATCGGCATCCCTTCACTAAGCCCAATCGGACACGCTGAATGCACACGAAGTGTGAACATTCCCCTGACTCAATCGCAAATACTGCAAGGACAAAAAGAATATTAAATATAAATCTTCTTGTGGCCTGAGGCCTCAAGTGTTTCTCGAACCATTGC